CTACTAAGAGCGATTTGCAGTTACTTGTGAATTTAATTTGTCATAAATAATCACACTTTAAATCCACCAGAAGATTTCTACTGCTTCATCCAGTTCGACGGTTTTAAATTTTATGAAATTCATTCACAAGCTGTAAAAAAGTGAAACCGGCACACCTGCGTCAATTGTTTATAAATTCTTATAACTTCAACCTTACTGTGGAAAATTCTGAGAAACCCCTTCGTACTGTTTGGACTCATAACTGCTGCGAATATCTTCTCAAGGAGAACCGTAATAGGAAAACGGGTCTGATCTCTTTTGGGGTATGACGTCTGCTCTTGCAGGAAAATTATTCTCAAACGCCAAGTTTTTTAAGCAGTACAAAATTCTACTCTATTCATAAGTGCTTCACACCGGTGCAAGTATACCTTACGATAATGCTCAGCGTTTGGACAAAAATGGTCCCCTCATGTGAGCAAATATGTGTAAAGGCTTCGGCAATCAAGAATCAAATGGAATTACTTCAAACGGTGACGCAGGTGCTGCTATCATGCATGGTTATGGTGCCTAGCAACTGTCAGTAAACGCAAATAAGCTCGCGTAGTCCGTGAATCGATCGTAGTGTTTCAGCTTGGAAGGTTGGTGGAGTACGTTTGATTGTCAAGCAGAATAACTGGACACAACGCTTCATTTAACAACATTCCCCCATGTCACTCAGATCAATAACGTTGTTTTTAAAATTCACACCTTGATCTGTACACACGTACAAACCAGTCATGCACTACCAGATAAGTTGACATGGGACAATAGGTGTTTGCATCCCTTCATGTAGTAAATAACTGCATTCCACGAAATAGTTCGTTGGTAGCTGTTGAATCCAGGTGTGCTTACACGAAATACGGGAGGCGAGATGGCCCAAGTGGTCAGAGCGCGAATTTATTGACCGGAAGGTCTGTGGTTCGAACCCGACCTCTACCACTCGACTTCCCCTCTCTAGGCTTGGGCAACCTGGCAGTATCTCAGCCCTCGTGCAACCTTCGAGAGGCATGGCAGTTAGGCACCGAAAGGGTGCTACAGCTGAACGACGTGGTTCCTATCTCGACTAGCGATCTTTGGTCAAACAGATAACAACGGTTGAGCTGAATTTGGAGACTATGCTTAATTGATCACTAGCGAGCAGGGTTCAACCGGTCGCAGGGTTTCGTTTGGTTTTGTACGAACGATTTCATGTTATCCACCTTTTCTGTCCAGAGATGACATACACATTCGTCAGCCATCAGCAGAGTGTGGAAAGTGCTGACGCATTTACCTGCTACCTAGCTAAAGACACTTTCTAAGCCTCTCGTCAGTTAACCACGCTTTCCAATTAAGTATGCCTTCAAACTGCTATCGTATTCAGACTGTTTGATAACTGTTCTTCAATTTACTTTTTATCATCATTACTGTCGTTTCCGTCAGTAGGCAAGTTCCGTCACAATCACCAAATGAACCTCAATGAGGGTATTGAGTTTTGTGTGACTGAGCCACTCGAGAATGAGTCCCAACTTTTTTGAAGAAAACTGACGTTTTAACCGAGGCCCAGTTTTATACTGCCTCTAGTGCCTGGTACGAAGTGGACTATCTATGTCGGTTGACAATCGAGTTCACTATGCTTGGCTGATTGCTCCACTTTGGACTTGGGCTACGCCTCAAAATCGCAGCCTACGTGCTCAACACAGCTCGTACGGCTTGTAATTTGTATAACAAATAAGTGCAATTTTTATGCCATATGACATTTTTCAATGACCTAAATTTTTCTGTTTTTTTTTTAAATTGGAGAAGGTGGAAATCCTTTTGTGACCACCTGTGGCCTCGAACGCACTGTGACTTCTCTTTCTGGTCAAGCAAACGGTTTGCGCACTATGAAACATTCTTTACCACCAAATTTAAAAATTTCCGAAGAAATCTTCACTTCATGGGACAATTGTATTCAGTTGTTTGGTCCACAACCTACTTTATGGGGACCTCACCGTAACCGTATTTGTGAAATGCAGTTTGTATAAGTACGGGTGGTCATTATGTTTATCTCAATTGACCAATACCATGGTGGTCGTTGGCTTGTTCGCTGAGCTGGGCAATTTGATTGCAAACGTTTCACCACCAACCCACCGCTACGCACTACTACGCTCCACAACTACGCACTGATGATGTCACCTCGATTGGCGATGAAACGTTTGCAACCAAATTGCCCAGCTCAGTGAACAAGCCAACGACCACCATCTAAGATACCTGAGCTACCAAAATTTTCCTCTATAGATGACGAATACCATATATCGTGACTGCGAGACTGTTTTAGTGACCGGATGGATGTGTTGACGATATCGAGGTTTGTGCCAGGCGTCGGTCATCAGCAAACGCAAAGTGATGTCGACATTTGTATCCGACATAGCTTTATCTAGCTCTTCTATCGACTGCCGAGCGACAATGAGCTTAACTCATAGCTGAGCACTTCTGTTATTGCCACCTGTCTGTCACGCAGAAAACAGCCTTCAAAGAAACGTATGAAGAACTCTAAACAGGTTTTTCAGGCCTGAGTTGAAAATTCGAGGGAATGCATACAAGACAGGACACAAGAGAACACCGTTGGCTTCTTCTCGGAATAATTCAGCCATTCCATCTGCTTTAGCAGGTATTCCTTGTCACGAATATTTAGAAGGACATTTTTTTGCGAAATATATGGCGTTAAATCTCCGTGTGAGCGTTTGCTTCGAAAACGTATCCATTTTAAACCTCGGCATTTGATCTGCGAGCTCACTGGCATGCACCAGGAGGTAAAGTATTTTACTGCACTCTATCAAATGATTATGTTTGCACTCGAATAAGCCTCCACGGTGATATCTCACGAAACGTTTCACTGCCACATGATTGCACAACGGATTTGATTGCCTAATCTAATGATGAAGACTGTGTAGATTTACTCGCATGGAATAGGACAGTAAATTGCTTTATTTCTGTCAGGCTGATCCGAATTTCAGTCCAACCCACACGTTTTCGGAAACTGAAATCTTCTGGACATGCTTAAATAACGGCTCATTTACTAGCAGCCAGCATAGAACCAGATGCTATTGCTGGTTCTGGTATTATACGATAGGTGGTTTGACCATTTTTATCGAACCAGACATTGTTTCTACACAACCATGAGCATTATAACGAACTGGGAAGTCTCTCACCCACTGTCCCATCACTGAATTTTGTTTGCACACTTGACGAAATTAGTTAAATGGGATAGGATAGGTATATCAATAACTAAATACAACTAAATACATAGATACATAGATAGATAGGCCACAGACAGACAGACAGACAGACAGACAGACAGACAGACAGACAGACAGACAGACAGACAGACAGACAGACAGACAGACAGACAGACAGACAGACAGACAGACAGACAGACAGACAGACAGACAGACAGACAGACAGACAGACAGACAGACAGACAGACAGACAGACAGACAGACAGACAGACAGACAGACAGACAGACAGACAGACAGACAGACAGACAGACAGACAGACAGACAGACAGACAGACAGACAGACAGACAGACAGACAGACAGACAGACAGACAGACAGACAGACAGACAGACAGACAGACAGACAGACAGACAGACAGACAGACAGACAGACAGACAGACAGACAGACAGACAGACAGACAGACAGACAGACAGACAGACAGACAGACAGACAGACAGACAGACAGACAGACAGACAGACAGACAGACAGACAGACAGACAGACAGACAGACAGACAGACAGACAGACAGACAGACAGACAGACAGACAGACAGACAGACAGACAGACAGACAGACAGACAGACAGACAGACAGACGGTGGTTAGGTGGGACTGTGGTTTTTTCACCGTTGGCTGTTATTTACACGAGCGATTTGCAGCATCCCTAGTAGATAGTCTATGTGGAAGCTACTGATTTAATTGACCAAACTTTAGATGCTCTTAGAGATGCGAGTAACGTAAGATTATCTTAGGAGTCTTTTAGGGGTTATATGTTGCCTATATTGAGAGCTTGCGCCAAAGTAGGGCAGACATACTTCTTGCCCGAACCGATCCAACATAGACCGACTCTAATGCGTAAAATTTGCAAGGCCAAAAGATTTTGCAGTCGCCAATTCGTTGACTGTGCGACAAATTCCAGAAAAAAAGTTCAAATGGACAGACGATACCGGGGTGCAATCGCTGAGGTGTTAATCGAACCCGGTGCACGTGAATCTTTCCGTCCTCAGTTCCATCCGGAGCGTTGAATGTACCGTAGATATAACAAGGCCGATAAAGTTTGGTAATCACCAAAGAAAGAAGCAGACAAACCTCGAAGGGGAGCTTCTCGTCTCACACCTAATCAAGATAACGAAGATTACAATGGCCTAAGAGAAGATTCTTCTTTGAAGAGGAAGATTTTTTGCCCTCCTTGGTCTTATCAAGGAGATAACAAAGCGAAGAACGCGACATCAAACTCAAAATCTAAAACACACAGTGGACTCGCATACACACTGACAAACTGGCTGTATAGTTTATCCGACCGACTGCCTGCCGATGTAAATTTAGGAAGAGCACTGAGCCTAGTCACGAGACAGGTGCTTGTGATTCGGCTACACTGATGACGTCTGTTTGGATTTTATCTGTAGGTTACTGACACCCCCCGACAGTGTTTAAGTTCGTCCGCTGTCCAGAGCTCTTCGTTTGGATGCACAAAATGTTGGACTCTTTGGTCAACTGTACACCACTTCCTGTACTCATGACCAGGTTGGAGTCACAAATTTGCCAACACTGTAGTCAGTTCTTAGTGAAATCACTTTGGATAGCTCAAGAACATATTGATGAGTCATCACCATGGGGAAGAAAATTTGTTAACATGCTCCAGAATCACAATCCCAAGATATGCAACCAATATTCTGAATACAGCTTCTTGCGCTTGCAAGGAAAGATGTATGTTTCAACTTTTTTGTTTTCATCTATCCCCAACAGGTCGAATATTTGTTCACTGACAAGACGGGGACGCTGACAGAGAACCTGATGCAGTTTCGTCGGTTTGCTACTGCCCTTGGGACTTTTGGGGTGAAAGACGGAAAAATTTATAAAATCCTTCCAGATCAAAGACGACGCTCAACTCTGGTGGGAGAACTGGAAACACTATTTGGAGATGTTGTTGATTTGACTCCATCCACTTCACTGTCAGAAGAACCCTCCGATGCGGACCTACTGAGCAGTATTCAGACTTTGCTATTGGTTTTGTCTCTGTGTCATACCGTTCGGGTGGAAAAGCATCTTCCAGGTGAAGAACCGACTCCCGGAAAGCAGAAAAAGAAGAAACGTGGTGCAGCTGCATCCTCTTCGGCGGCAACCACGACAGCAGTGATTGACACTCTGCAACGGTTTCGTGAACCACCACGGCGTGGGAGTAGCGCGCTGAGGAGAGCATCCGCGGCTCAGTCAGCTTCCGCAGCTGTTCGTGCTTCTAGGCGGGGGAAGAAAGTAAAGGCGGAAGATTACATCTATCAGGTAAGTGGTTTTTTTCAAAGAATTTTTTCGCTCCCATTGTTGTCGACAGTTTTTTTTATAGTCTTCACCCGATGCAACAGTAGTGAACACAAATTGAGCCTGTCCTCAAATCGACTGGCATCGCCAAAGATCAATACGGTTTATTTACCATATATTGAAGTTACATTGAATCAGAAGGCGATTCACATAAAATTGGTGCGTCCTGTTTGAGCAGTTTAAAGATGATCCGGCAATCGGGCCGTCGAATGTTGGCACATGCCATGACGGTTTACCTTACTCGGAACGGTATATATCCCAAGAAGTTGGTCTTTATCGCAACTTCCACATAGCTCATGGATGATTTGATGTCTCTGATGTGAACGATTCCATGCTTTGTCGCAGACAAATAGACTGCAAGTAACTTGCCAGGTATGTAACCAAAACACTGGAATATCTTCACTTGTTTCAGTGACACTTTCCAGCTTCTGCTTCATGTCAGTTCGACCATTATTCGGATACCTCCCACGGGCAAATTACCGATTCGAGCCCGTAAAATAAAAATAGGACTGCAGCGCTGTATGCTGCTAACTTTATTGGCTTTGTACTGCTCTGTACAGTTGCAACTCAGCCGGGTTCCCTTGGTGAAGGTCGCAATCTCTTCCTCTCCAGAGCCTTTTGCAACGCTCTTGTATAAGAGAACACATAGATGTTCACAACTGCTTTGCGTGACTCATGTAAGTCACACAGAAGACAAAATAATGACGCTAAAAGTTCTCAGGTATTAATATTGGGTCTCGAAACTTTGTCATGGATTTCAAATTGACCAGCTGGAGCTCAGCTGGTAAACTACCCATTTAGAGGCAACGGTTTGACGGATTACTCCCACAAGGCGTGTTTTTCAGTAATACTGTGTTAAAATCCCGTTCCATGATCAGCTTTCTCACTTATACGGACCTTAGAGTGCCTCCCCTCCCCGAGTTGCGTTTAATCGTGCAAGTCATTGTGTTCTCACTAGAACGGCACACAGTTTTAAAACCACCATGGAGCTGTCTGCTTACTGGCCAGTCGCTAGTCACGCGATATTCAGGACACCGTTTCGCAATCTGCCGAAACATTAAGGTCAGAGTCACGAGTGCAAAAACTCGGTTTCTTCCCGAGTACTAATAAAGTAGACCTGCATAGACCAGTAAAAATTCTGACTTAGAAATACAACGCAAAAAATTCACAGTACTTGTTATTGCTTTGCATAGAAAGAACACCAGCCCTCAAGTTCGTTTCGATAAGACTACCTCTTTCACCATCCCCTTTGTGTAGCAATGCATGCGACTGCAGGAACGATTCTCAGTTGAACAAACTTCGGTAGAAATCGACCGATCGGATGGATGGCTTGTGTTTTATTAGGTCCTCAAATAAGTACATTGGCTCGTCTCCTAATTTTAGCTCATGTCCCACTGAGTCTCTTTCGGAATACGAATTTTGCGAGTTATCATTCTAATCTAAGGCTAGGCACGATTGACCCCCACTGCCCGCTAGGAAACCAAAAAGGCCCTTGATCACCAGTCTTCATCAGTAACGAATGGTGAAACGAGGACACCGAAAATTCTATTGTCTAACAAACAACTGCTTTGCGGCCATACGCGCTCTAATGTTCCAAATGGGAACTGATTTCATTCGTCCACTACCGACATCTCCAGTTTACCTGTCCCTTGTACAGTGCGGTGGTCAACGTTCATACGTTGCCCTACTCACGGGTTCTATTTTCTTTGGACAGATCGGCAGAGAACAGAATGACGCAGTAGAAGGACAAAGTATGACTCTTCGCCGTTACCAGTATTAGTAACGCAGCTGAGTAGAACAGAGTGATGCGTCATCCAGCAGACTTAGTATATATATATATATATATATATATATATGAGGCGCCCGG